AAAAAAAAAAAAAAAAAAAAAAGAAAAAAACCCCCCCCCCCCCCCCCCGAATTTATTTTACAAGAAAAGGTTATTTAAGCCTATTATTTATCACGCAATCTCCCTTGAGGACTTCCTCCAAAGCAAACATTAAATATCAAACAACACTAAATGATATTAAAAACTAAATATACATATCAAACAAAGCAGGAACCAATGGTATTTCCATCAATACTAAATGATAATTACTACCAAGGAGAGGCAATTGACAACATATGACAAGGAAAATCTTCAAATGTCAAAACACAGGAAGGTAACCCAAAGTAATTTTATTATACAGCTATGCAAAATTTAATTTTCCTCATCAAAGCTAGCATATCACTGCTTTTTCTTTCTACACCCATTCAATTTAACAGAAATGAAATTAATACTTATGAATAATGCAATAATCTTGTTTAAAACACAATTTAACATTTCCAAATTCAACTAATTAATAAACATAAAACATGCCACAAAAAAACATTTACAAAATTATTATAATTAAGAACAGATTGTGCGTAACTAATACTAAATATTAAAAGTTAGCTTATGGGGGGAGAATTGGCTAAGCAATTATGTCTTTATTGCCATATAACTAGCACATCGGACAAGATATCTAGTGTGTGAAGTTTGCAAGTTTGTACATGAGGCAATGATACCATGTTAGAATTCATAATGGATTGGGCTTTAACTCAACCCAAAAAGCTAGCTTAAGGGATGAGGATTTCTTAAGTCCATTATAAGGAATATTTTGACCATATACCTAGCTGATGCAATATCTCAACAAAAGCACCGTTATTAAACTGATTAACACAACATTGACAATTACCTAAATAAAAATTCTTACAGAACAGAAAGAGGTTTTGCATGTAGAACTTTCCTAATGAAATTCAAATATATCATGAGAAATAAAAGAATTAAATATAAAATTATAAATTAAGAAAATATTTTATTATTATTAGGCTTAAATATGTTTTAAGTCTCCATAAAGTAAGTGAGTTTTGATTTTGGTCCTTATAACTTTTTTTCTTTATTTTTCATCCATCTAAAATTTGAAACCATTGTTTTTAGCCTTTGTAAAATAAAAAAATTTTGATTTTGGTCCTTGTAAAATATTTTTCTTTGATTTTCATCCCTACAAAATCTGAAAATCACTAATTCTTGTTCAAAATGTTTATTTTAAGATGGATAAATGATATTTATTTTAGGCATATTGAAAAAAAAATAAAAGGTGTCACATGTTGATATATTACCAAAGACATTAGTGAGTGTCGCCAATATTGATCACTCGCCCTACCATTCAACATATAAGCAAATATTGATCACTCGCCCTACCATTCAACATATAAGCAATTAACGAGTGACATATAATAGAAAGGACCAAAAACAATGATTTTTAATTTCAGAGAGATGAAAAACAAATAAATATTTTTATAGGAAGAAAAAACAAAACTCATTTTTGAAGGATTAATAACATATTTAAGCTTAATTATTATTATGACTATTATTATTATCATTCTTGTTGTTATTATTATTATTATTATTATTATTATCTATTTCTGATTAGGAATAGCACCCGTTTTAGCATTTTACAATGTGTGCAGCTTTAGTTTTTCGTCTGTGCCAGTACTAAATAATTTAATACTCATAATAACAGGTAGTTATGTATCTTAAGGATTGGTCTTATTCGTTAATATGAATCCACAAATTTGTTTTTACGAGAATATGAATGCACACTTAAAACTAAAATTGTACACTTTTATTTGGTCAAGAGAACAGTATTTTCTCACAAAATTTGAAAAGTTACATCAGAGTAAGAGTTAAAAATCATTAAGGAGATCACCTTGTACCCAGCATCCACACTCCTCAAGGCTAATGTTCCGATCACATCATCTGCCTCTACACCTGGAACCTATCATTGAATGAATTTCTATTATCGATGATACACCCTTATAATCTATAAGCAATTTAATCCAACAACCTATACTTGCCTCAATGACTTTTATGGACATAGCCTTGATGGATGCTTTGAAGTATTGAAGTCCCTGAACGATGGTATCAGGAGTTGGAGGACGGTTGCTCTTGTACGCAGGGTATAGATTGTGCCGAAAATTCTGGCCTTCAAACAAAGTGCACAGAAGATTAAGATATATAACATTATGAAACTTTAAAACAAAATGTAGCAGACATGGTCAAAGAATAATGGTAGAGCTAAATTGAAAAGGTAGATTAAACAATAAATCATTCCAAAAACAAACCAAGACATAATATTGACTACCTTGGCCAAATCTGAATTGAAGCTCCATCAAAATCAAAGTGAGACAAATATGAAATTATGAACAGCGTAAAAGATCAAGGCCATGCAAAACCACATTATTACAGCCTACAATTAAAAGCAGATAGATATTGTGGTCCTCAAATGAAGCTTGAGAAAGGAATATAAAGATGTGACAGAACAGTCTAGGAAGTAGAAGCATGTATTTATATTTAATTTGGCTTACAACAGCCCATGAAGACTTACACATGATCTTCATTGATATGGTAAAGGTGTATATGAGAGGGTGCCAAGAGATGTAATGTTGAGGGCCCTAGAGAAAAAAGGACTTCATATTGCCTAATTCAAGCAATCAAGGATATGTATGAGGGGATCACAACTAGCATCAGTATATAATGTTCAATCACATGTAACGATTTTCCAATAACTATAGGACTGCATCAAGGATCAACTTTGAGTCCCTATCTTTGTACAGAGCATATTCAAGAGCAGTGCCTTGATGCATTCCTTTCAGCCAATGATATAGTCCTAGTTGGAGAGATGAGAGAGGAGATAAATGGGAAGTTCATGGTGTGGAACTAGGTTCTGGATGCACAAGGCTCTTGTTTAAGTAGAAGCAACATAGAGTACATGTAATGTAAATTTAGCAAAGGCACATCAAACCTGGGTTTGAGATAAAAATTAGATATACCACATATCTCACCATAAGTCTCATGGTTTAAGTATCCTGAATCCATTAAATAAAAGATAGAGAAAATAGAGGGAAATGTAAACCATAGGATTCAAGCAGGGCGAATGAACAGAGGAGTGCCTTGATTGTTATAGTATTTGAAACAAAAAGGTATGTACTACTCAAGCAGGCTAAAGATATTTTTTTACCACATCTATAAGACCTGCAGTGTTATATAGAACTAACTGCTGAACAGTAAAAGGCCAACAAAAGAATGTACTCAATAGTTTGTCTATGGACATGATTCACAAAAGAACACTATGGTGTCATTTGATCCATTTAACCAACCCAACCTAGAGGGAAAAAACTAGGTTGTTTTTGTAATTTGGCTTAGGAGTATTTAAAAAGCATTGTATTCTCCAAAATCTATAACCTAACTTTCTTTACAATTCCTCAAAACAGTTGAGATCATTATCTGGATTACTTCGAACCTTATGATGACCAAAGTACATTATCTAAATGAAACCCAGACATATGAATATCAAATAGTATCTCTATATATAGAGTTTAGGAACTGGAAGAGTTTTACTTGGGGTGGGTGGGAAATGTAAAAGAACACCTTATTTGAGGACACAAAAATAATTTAAGAAAAAGGCATAGAAAGATTTTTAAAAAAAATGCACTCCACTCTTGCCCATATATAAGGTTCAAATTCTGATATTATTCTCATAATCCAATTTCATTATGCAAATACTGAAACTCAGAAACAAACATACCTTTTGCAGTAAAACTTTCTTTTGAGGAATTATAAGTATGACCAAAAGGAAATCCTGAAATAAGAAGGGTTTTCTCTATTAAAATTGTATTTGAGACTTGAGAGTGGCTGTACAAGCCAAAGAACCTGAGAAATACAAGTTAGCTGCTAGGAAGAAAGAGATGCAAAATGATGTGTTTCAAATCCTTAATATGCCCAAATACCACTAGTAGATCAACAGCTTCTAGAAGCAATTTACACTTGACTAAACATAATATTCCTCCTATGCTACTGTCTTCACAGATCATAATAAGTTCCGTCTGAATAGTAAATACAACATGAACATCCTAGATTATCAGCGCAAGAATTTGGTGGGAAATCATGCAGAGAATAGTTCTTTATTGTAATTTATCTATTTATAATTTCCAGGTGCAAAAAGCTTCCTTTCTCTTCAATTTCTAACCAAACTAAAGGATGCAATCTCCTAAAATGCTAAGGATTAGACATCAAATTACTTTTATTTCCTGTTGTATTTGTCTTTTATTTGTGATTAAGGTAAGCCTGATATGAATTCTTTAGTACAAGATGAGATGCCAAAACAGAAAGAACCCAAAATGATTGCAAGAATAGCATATAAAAACATTTAACTCCAATAATTTTTCACTACATATTTCCTATTGTCATTTAAAACAAATGCCTAATACTTCGGAAGGAACTGCAAACATAGTCCAGCAGAAATAGAGCAATGGCATAAATCTACACTCCAAGTTTTACCAAGGCTTGTAGCACAAGGATCTTGTAGCCTTACGCTCAACAGGAAATTCTATATCTTCATATAAAAGGAAAGTTTATATTAGACCAATATTACTAACAGAGGATGTTTTAAGGCTGAATATTATTACAAAATGAATCTTTTAAGGCTAAAATGGAATTCAGATTGAAAAGATATGCCCATGTTTAATCAAACTTAACCATGTGAAATTATTTTATTTGTATAACCAGTTCAACACATTCTCTCTCTTCTTTTAAACTGTTCATTGACTTCATATGATGTTGGAGTTGTTTGAATTCAATTTCTTTTATGGAGGAATCAGTTGAAAACGCAGACCTAATTGAACAGATCTCTGGAAAAGTCAAGACCACACAAACTGTACCAGAACCATGTGGGTCTCCATTCTTATATTCCATGTTTTGCCTCCGAGCATCTTTATTGTCATTGGAGTCAATAAAATATCTTTTTATATTATTTTGTAAATAGAGCAATTCAAATTCAGTCAAGGAAACCAACACTATCCCAATCAAAACATAAGGAGCACAGCACATGCTACATGGAAACTATAATTCATAATTTATCATTAATGCATGCGTACACTCCAAAAAAATAAAACAGTACAGAAAAGAAGTACAACAATGATTTTAAAAATAAAATAAAAAACTAATATTCTATTAGAATGAAGGGTATAAGAGGAAAACACAGTGGCAAATATAGAGGCAGAATTTTATAACTCACCATCATGGTCAAACACCACCTGCATGCAAAAGAAATCAAAACTGTATCAGTAAGATTAACTGATTGTAAACATGAGAAAAATAATAAGATTGAAATAATAGAAACAAATAGTGACAATGAAAAAAAATTATGGAAAAACATGTTTTTTCACATACATAAATACATGATGGACAAAACTTACCACCACATGGGAAGGGATAAATTCCAGAACATCAATTATCTGCAAGAAAGATTACCAAGAATAACTATAAGACAAAAACAACACATGCCAATTAAACAAAATGAAACTTATTTTTGTATTCAACCTCAGTTAAAATAATTATATACATGCTGCACTGTCAATTAAAACTGAAAAACAATTTTGTGGCTCAATTTGAATGATTTCCAAGAAATCTATAGCTCAATTTCTGGCTCAATTTGAATGATGAGACGCAAAATGCACTTCATCTGTAGCTTTATTCAGAAACCAATAAAGCAACATAAAAGAAACACAGCAACAAGATGGAGAAAAAAAATGAGGCAAGGCGCATACAAAGTTTATGAATTCTATATCTATATCTATATCTATATCTATATCTATATTTATATATATAAACACACACAGAGATACACAGATAACTTACAAGTGATAGTGCTGTAAATATCGTTAAAACCCAATCTCCATTTCCATCAGCATGTGTTAGATGACCATGGTGCAACTTTGCTATCATACCACCAAAAAAATTAACAACAATCAATTACACCCGCAATCCTCAAACAAAACCCCAAACTAAAAATTAAAAAACGAAACGCAGAGCGAATAATAGGAAGCCAAAACCGCTTTTTTATCAACAGCAAAACATAACCAAAAACACACAAGTTTTATCCAACACGCGACAAATCTAAAATCCTCTTGTTCGAAACCTATAGCATTACCACAAATACACATCTCCAAGCAGGAAGGAAAAAAAAATCAGAGGAAACGAAGTCAGTAAGATTAGAAACTCATCAGATAAGAAGCATATGTAGGTAAACTTATCTCAGAAGAGAGAAAAATAGGAAGTAAAAATGAAATAAACTATCTATAAAAACCAGTTTTAGCTTAAAAGAAAAACTTATTTTAATTTTTCACCTTAATTTCTCTACTCAAAGTACTTAGAAACTTATCCAAAGAGGCTCGAGATAACAAAGTAGCTGGTGGTGCATAGAATAACATTCACCACACCCTAGAAGAGTGAACAACACAACTCCGAACAAACCAAAACAAGCAAAGATAACGAAACGTGCCTAAAAGCTTGTAGTATGCCCGGTGAATAATCGAAGTACCGTCAACGATCATAACTCTGCCATTCAAAGGATCGGCGTTCGCGGCACGTTCCGCATTGGCGGCAGAATCAAGCTGCTGCAGAGATTGAACGGTTCCAAATCCAGCGTCGGGAACCAACGTCGCGGTAACCCGTGGCGAATCCGAAGTAGCACTGCAATAGCCCTAACGAGGAAACGCGAAAAAAGAGAGAGAAATTTCAAGAGCGAGAAGAGCACAACGCAGCACAGCGTGTAATAATACGAGATTGTGAGTGCGTCACCTTTTTGACTAGCGCGCGCGATGAATGAAGCAGCGTCGGGGTTTGGAGATTGCGAGAGTGATAAAAAGTCCTGGTGGTGACGGTTCTGCGTAAGCCATGGCGCGGGAGTGGAAGCTTCCTCCACATGGAGTGAGAGTGGAGGAATAAATAGTGGTACTTATAGCAGCACGCCATTTGTAAAATCTGTTGCTATGGTGGTAGCGGCATTGGAGTTGAAGCAAGCGATGACGTGAGGAAAGCGAGACTGCGAAAGAAATGGCAGAGAAAAAAAACAACGAGCGTTGCAGGTTGCTGCCTTGATGAGGTTCGGGAAGCAAAGATATCAATTTTGGGCTGGGCCAGGGGTAGCCCATTGGTTTCGGCTGTTTGCACCGTGTCCCTTTCTTTTTACCTCATTTCTTTCTCCTTACACTTCTTTAATTATTTGAGAATTTTTTAATTAGATATTCGTTATGTTATTTTTTTAATTGAGTTTACAAAAAAATTTAAATCGTCATGAATTATCATTATTAATACTAATAATATATATATATAAATATATATATATATGAATTATGAGGTGGACCTTCATAAGTGGTTCATAATGCACCTAAATTTATATTCATTAGATTAATCTAGATTTCATAATATAACAATGCATCACTCACGCTAGATCTTTTCCCTCTTCATTCAAAATTATTGTGTACAAAGTACTTTTGACCACCACTCACTGTTGTTTAGGATAATTTTTAACAACATTGACACTTTTTTTTTCTTTTTTTTCCCTTTTTCTTCTTTCCATTCCCCTCTTCTTCTTTTACATATGGATACTTGAAGTTAGCAGAAATACATACAGAAAGGGGGTTGAATGTGTGTGTTCGTGTTCGAAGGAAGATTTTTTTTAAAGTTGCTTCGCAAGAATATTTTTGTTGAGTGTTTAATCACGGTGAAAACTTGTGCAAGCTTTTCTGTCTATAAAGTTTTTTTTTTCGTCTAACAAAACTTCTGTTTCAAGAAATAAGTTGAGTAAATTTATTTTCCGTTTGAAAGGTTTTATCGTCCAAAAAAAACTGTTTCTCAAATTCAATGATCAAGTGTGTTTTCGTCTAATAGTTTGTTGAAAAGAAAGTAGATGAAAGACGAAGTAAGTAGTGTTTGAAAAATAAAGAGTATGCACAGATGTTTATACTGGTTCACTCAATTTGAGCTACGTCCAGTCTCCTTCAATCGAAAGGTTCCACTAATCACAATGGATTACAAGTATTCTCAACCACTTCTGGCTCGTCAACTTGACGCTAGTATTCTTAACCACTTCTGGTTCTTCAAGTATTCTTGACCACTTCTGGCCCGCTAGCATTAGTATTCTCAAACCACTTCTGGTTTACAAGTATTTTTTCTACCAGTCTCTTCAGGCTCGATCGCAAATAAAGGTGTTGAGTGTGTTTGCAACTCTCACAGAGAGGATAATGTAGTTTCTACACTCACTAAGGTGCGTAACCATAGTTTTACAGGAATAAGTGTCTAAGTGTTGTGTTTACTCTCGTAAGGATGATAGAATATTAACAACACTCACTAAGATGGACTATCTTAATTTTTACACAGATATATAGGAAATGCTTTTGAGAAGAATTGCAGCTTATACTCTTTCGCTTTCTTTTTCTTATTGCATGTTTTCTCTACTTCTTTGTTCTTCCTCTTCTTCTCCTTTGCCTTGATACTTATAGACATTTAGTAAATTTGTCTGTTGTTTGAATTCAAATTTTTCCATTGGAGCGTAGCTTCATGTCGTTGCAGGTGGAGGCTTGTTCATGGCTATGTGAATCTCTTCATTTAATGCATTTGATCTTGCATTAAATGTTTACTAGTATATGTGAAGTCCTTTTGTGTAGTTGATTACTCCAATGTCTGACTTTAATCATAATCTAGGCATATTTGTACTTGTCTCATCAGTTTAGCTGTTGCGGCGCTATTTATCTCTGAAAAGTAGGTGTCCTTTCTCTAATATACGCAGCTTTGACTTGTAACTCCACGCTTGCCTATTTTTCTTCTTTTTTGTATTCCAGTTTGATGTACTTTGGTGTTTCTTGTATGATTTCACTCAATTGTGATTAGTGGACATCAGACGCGCTTCATCATTTTTAACTGCGCTTGTATATATGATACTTCGTCTGATCTTGACTATCCTTTATGTCTGATCATGCGAGTGATAACTTCGTCTTCTAGTTCTTTAGGCTTTATCTGATGATTTCAACACTTCATGTTGATGTTTGACCAACTTTCGTCCCGTGCTTGACTTAGTTTCATACAACGCTTGTTTCGGTCTTACAACTGATTTCTCAGGCTTCAGCTGATAGATTCGTCTTATGTTGTATTTGATTTATACTTGGATCAACTTTAGATTTGATACTAGCTTTTGCCATCGTCTGATGTCTTTGTTCAACTTGATTATGCTTGATCATATTTGTCCTTCATTTTTCCTGAACTTATTGTTATTTATCTGAAACACTAATACACATGTTAGCAATAACAATATGTATTATATTTGTCATATTCAAAACCTCGATGGGAATTTGCAAATGTGCTTCATCTGACTTAACAATACCAAGAGTGATAGGCACAACAACCAAAACAAAAAATGTTGTCATTTTTAGGCCTTGGATGCTTCAAAATTTACACCCTTCTACAAGAAACTATTGGAGTTGTCTTCAAGGACTATCCGGATGGAGAAGGATCCTAAATTGTTAGTGATAACGAGTATGATCTTTTTCATCTTATGTTGAAACTCATGGAAGTTGATGATGTCTTTCTAGTTGTCGTTGACCTTGTTGAAAATGGAGTCATGGAGCCTAGCATGTTGCTATGAAATTAATGTCGAAGCGTGTCTCGATAAGGTGCCTCGTGCGAAGCTCTGAGCACGCATAATCATTTAATTTTGCCTTTGGCTACAATTAATGGTGGTGGGAAGTCCTTTGTTGGTCTTGGGTGAAGAGGAAAAAGATTCGATATAGGTGATGTATTATAACATTGTAAAACTTAGATTGATTTAATGGCTAAAATTTGTCGTAGATAGTGGATTACCTATAAAAGTAGTCCACTTTGAAATTTGTCATAATAATAATGAATGTCAAGTTTCACAAGTTTGAAGCTAAAACAGACGAGAAGCTTAATCTCATTGCCTTACTTCAATAGTTAGCCTCAAATACATAAATCTTGTCATGTTGTTGACAAATGATGATGGTCTCCTTCTTATCATAGTCTTTGATGATGACAAATGGGACGAAAGATATATTGTTATTTTGACCGTGTTTTTAACATTTTTATGTGAATGAATGCATGTGCCATGTCACTTATACTTATATGTGAAATAATATATGTTTTGCATGCTTTGATTTAATCTTTTTTGGGGGGTTTAATTTTCATATTGTTTATTTTTCATTTTATTGCTCTAATATGAAGATGAACATATCAGCTTAGAGTTTTATACCTTGTTTTGTCAAAATACAATATTATGTGTAATTATTAGAAATAGGATATTATTAAACCAAAGACTTGTGAAACATCTCGCTCCTAAAAATCATTAAGTTTTAATGATAACAAACATTGTTGTATCTTGATAATCTAACCAAGTTATTTAGATGTGCATTACTTTGTACATCTAATAAGGAAGGAAGGGTATCAGATTTCGTAATTTTAAGAGAAAATGAAAACTAAACTTAATAACAAAATAAGTCTTCTAGCATCCATATAAGTTTTTAAAATGCACATCCAAAATTGGTTTTTATAATGAATGTCCAACATGTTTATGAAAAGGGTTTATAAAAATGACATGAATGATATAAATACAGTGTGTTTGGATAAAACATTTTAATGAAGTAATTCATTTTTTTAAAGAAATTGAAATACTCTACTTTAAAATTTATTGTTTGGACAAATTATTTTAAAAGAATTTTAAATCTTGTCATTTTCATGGAGCATTTTAATTAACTAAACCCATAAAATTTGAAATTTCACCCAAAAGTGAGGAATTTGAAATTACTCATTCCTCAACACACACCCTTTCACACTCGGGGTGTCGCTCTCTCGCAATTCTAGCTCTCTTGTGATGTTTACTCTCTTGCAATTCTCACTTATGATTTCATTATCTTTCTCACTCATAATCTCATTTTCTCTCTCGCTTGTAATCCTCATTTTCTCTCTTGCTCACAATCCTTGCAATCTCCTTTTACTCAAGTTCATTTTTCTTCTCTTTTAAATTTAAGGTCCCATTTGATTTTTTATTGAATTCGTTTTTTATCTAGGGTTTCATTTTTAATTTCATGTTGATTTTATTGACTATGTATATTGAGTCATTTGTTTCATGTGTGTAGAGGTTGGCCAATCACCTTGTCTCATGTCAGAGTTTTTCAATTAGTTTTAATTTGTAGGTTTGTTTATTGATTAATTTCTTTTAGCTAGTTATTTGATGTGATTTTTATATATTTATCAACTTTAAATAAAATATTTCCTTCATCATAGATTTCAAAAAGTAATGATTTATTAAAATTTTATTCATATAATTGATTTGATAAATCATAAATGTTGCAATATGTATACATGTTACAATTTGGTGTCAGATATTCATAGAATTCATAACTATGAGGGGAGATAGGCTAGACTTGTGTACAAAGAATCTAATCAAGTTGTTGATGCATTAGCAAAGTATGAAATATTTTGTCAATTTTTGTTAATCCAACAAAAATTAAACCGAAGGATATTCTATATCCCACACTACCTAACAAAAAAAAAACACAAGCAAAAGCATAGATTGATACAAATGTTGAGGTTACTGCTCTTTTCTTCTTAATTGCCCCACCATACAACACAAGTCATATAACACTTTGCATACCCACTAGTGTTACAACTATTAACTTTCATGCATTGTCTGCCTTTTTCATTCATTCTGTACTTATAACGTACGTAAATAAGATCCTTGTTTCATTGTTTCTTTTGAGAGGTAAGGAGAAAAAAATGTTGACAAAAAATGGTATATGTCTTGCAAGCTTATAATATACATGTTCAAGTAGTTTGTAACTTGATAGTTATCAAATAATAATTATTTTTTCTTCCTTTTTTTCTTCAAAAAATGGTTATTTAACATTAGTCTTGGTGCTATAATCTTTAAGACCATGAAAGGTAAACAACATATCAGATTTTGAAAACATTTTCTCAATATTTGCAAAGCAATTATTCTCCATTTAAAAAAAAAATCCTTTGACTCTTTGGTATTATTTCATTTCTACTAGGGACTTCAAAATAATCATGTCAATTCCATAAACTTTCTT